TCCGCATTTTACAACATTTCGCAACGAAACTTTGGAATATTACTAATTTTGTGATGCTCTTTCAAGCTGTGATGAAATTTTTGTCTAGACTTGTTTAGATCAAAATTTAGTCTATTACGCAAATGGTCAATTGCAAAGGACGCAGCTCAACCTGATCGAGTTGAAGGCTTTCTAATGGCGCCTCTGGCAGCCACCTAGCTTATATATGACTCATGTCCATACGGGCTAATCCTGTAACCCACACTGTCAACATTCCCTTTGGGAGGAAACCGAACTACATACGTAAGAATCTCACAACTTGTCAACAAGATGTGTTCGCAACAGACTTGTAGTAAGCTTGTCAACAAGTTATAACAATGCTGTTATTTTATCAAGTTGCTATACAAGGTTGTCGCCCGCAACTTGTTGACAAATTGACGAATTGCAGGACGATAACAAGTAATTGTTGGAACAACTTGTAACAAGTATGTTGAGCTCAACAAACTTGTGGCAAGTTGTCAACAAGCCGTTGACAACTTGTCAATAAGCTGGGAACAAACAGCGCGAACACATCCTTTTCGAACAGCATTGCCATAAGTCTGTTTTTACGTGTGCAGGGTTTTTTCAGGGATTCTTTAGGGCCGTTAAACGGCCTCAAAAACTCAATCTTGAATTGAGTTTTGAAACTCAGTCTTCTCACCAAAGTTTCAGTGCAGTAAAAATGAAGTTGTTTTAGTTAAATTTCGTGACGTGTGGAAATTAGTTTTCAGTTGGAAGTCCGACAATTAAGAAAAAATGGCTGGAATTCATCTCACAACACAAGAAAAACTATATGCAATCGCCATCTTTAACCAGTTTATAGTGTCCCTTAGTGCCCCTGCTTTAACACATTCCGTCTCAACTACATTTATTGAGTACAGGTGTCAGCCCCCCGGTAGGGGGAGGGGGTGCAGCCACCCCAGCTGTTCAGCTAAACTCAATCTTCTCTGCAAAAACGGACCCAAGAGAAAATCCTGAAAAAAATCCTGGTGTGCACCCGGAGAAGGTCAAGCGTTGGCTGAATCTTTTCACACAAATGTCACGAGTCTTCAGCGACAGACGAGCCCACGATCTCAGCGGTAGAAGACGCTTACTCTGACGATTACGCCACCGAAGTCTCGTGATTTAATATTTTAACTTTCCCTTATACCAAAGACCACTAGACGAAAGGGTTTGACTATAGTTCTCTTCTCTTGAACCTTACCTTATTAGATGCGGATTCATAAATTCTGTCCTCACTGTTGCAAGAATTTCATTATTTCCATACTCAATAAGAGACAGCTCCCCCGCATTAAACGCCATACACACCTATAGCGAAAACAAGTAGTGTTTTTCACAACAATGTATATAACATTTTTTTCATTGGAAGTTTCTATCCCATGACACACAGTTCACATACAAGTCTTTCGACAAGCCCAAAAATTTGGAGTGCTGTACTTACATTATCATTCTCAAAGAAAAATTTTTCATTGCCTCCGGAACCTTGCCATGGAACCTGGAAAATAGAGGAATGTTCCAGATTATCGTTTTATCAATAAGAAGCACTGGAAAAAAAGTGGACTCCATACTATGAGATTTGCAATTGCACCACTAAATCTATAGTATGTCCATACTATTTTGATACTATGTCCATATAGTATGGAAATATACAATTATTATGGATAATCAAAATCCATTCTATTTCCAATAAAGGTCCATACAGTTTCCATTCTATGACCTTCTATGGATTTTCAATTTTTTTTCCAGTGAACAAATGAACTAAGGAGAAATTGAAAAATGTCTAATATTAACCTCGCTCAATTTGTTGCTACGAAGATCTCCAAGCAACAACGTATCCGACGTGTACGCCACTAAGTATGTATCCTTGCCCATCACGCTCACTTTGTCAATCTAAAACACACATTCATCAATGCTTGTATATTTGCTATTTTTGTTGGTAACCAAAAATAATTTGCAGTTAACCCTGAAAGTGAAGCCGAGCAGCAGTAGCAGCTTTGGGAGCGCGTAGCTTGCGAGATACGACGAGGGACCGGGCCACCGGGGGAACGTTTTGAGCAATTGGGCTTGAGATAGTTAATTCTGGCAATAGGAAACATAACTCAGAGATTGATAACTTGATATTTTATAATAAAAAATAGTCAAACCACACAAGGTTTGAAAATGGAAAAGAGAATGTTATAGAAAAGAGGCACCTATTAAATCTGCAAAAAGTAAATATTTCAAAAAAAGACTGCGAAAAATTGAAATTTTCTTCTATTATTATAATACTAGCATGCATGCACAAGACATTCTGACCAAGGCTTGCAGTTAGCTCCAGTCATTTGCAGGTAACGTGGTTACCTTAGGTGCCAATATCTGACACCCATGCATTGATCAACATGCACAACACTGACATCTGACCGCCAAACCGATAGACAGAATACGCACCTCGTAGCCATAGTGTGATTTTAAAACAACACGGGTACCAGAGGAAAGATTTTTCACAATTACCTAAATGAAAAGGTGTAGTATAATGATTCTTTTCTCAAGTCTAAGCTGTTTTTCCTTGCAGTTCAGTGTGCCTTCCTTATTGACCCAATGTTACTACAGGAGGAAATTTGAGTACCCGGAGAAAACTCTGCGGTGTCAACGGTAAACAGGTTACTTCTAGGGCCCAGGTGGCCAATCTAACTGAACTGAACTAAACTGAACTATATACTGGATAGTCTGCTCTAACTATACTTAACAATTCTTGGTTCAGTTGAGCCAAGCTGGAAGCGGTAGCTCTTCCTTTTGCAACGGAAGCAAAAAGCGGCTGTTCCCCTGTCATTTTATGCATGGTTACATACTTGACTAAGACCAACGTAGGTTATCTCAAACTTATTCTTGTAGATAGATCGTCGCAGACAACAATCAAATAGTTCAACGCCGCCACACAAAGTGCCCTGAAGTAAGAGAAGAAGACAGTATAAAAGGAAAGTATAAACTAAAAACAACAATGGCGCAACTTAATTATTTTTGTCAGGGCAAGTTAGACATGAAAATTAGTTGATCGGAATAAAATTCACTTTCCATCAGGTCTAGTTTTGCCCTCAGCAAAATTTGAAGGAAATGATTGCAGTGTTGATTAATCAACATTCATAATCATGCATGCAGTATTGGTTTCAGCTGATTTACTAATAAAGATTCAAAGACAAAATACCATAAACAAGCAAACAATTTAGTGTAGCAATTAATTTCTG